AAGATGCTCATCTGTGACATTGCACATACTGAGGAGCACCTACAAACAGCCCTTGACTGCTTCTGTCAAATATACCAGTACCTGGGACTGACCCTTAACATTAGAAAAAACAACAGGGCTTCACCAGCCTGTTCCAGACCAATTAACTTCCCCAACAGAGATCCTCATTTAATGGCTAGAGGCCGGAGAATGTTGAGCGCTCTGCATACCTCAGCAATCATCTCTCAAAGAAGGCCAACATGGACAAGAAGATCCAGTATAGGATCCAATGTGCCAGCTCTGCCTTTGGAAGACTGAATTGTCATGTGTTCAACGATCACAACATCAGGACTCGAACAAAACTCCTATTATATAAGGTTGTGGTAATCCCAACTCTCCTCTATATGGCTGTGAAGCTTGGGCAACCTAGAGGGACCACCTGCAAAGCCTGGAACACCTTCAGCAGTGCTACCTCTGGCAGACCCTTGGCATAAAGTGGAAGGATCATTGCACAAATGCCAGTGTCCTTACTGATGCTAACACCACCAGCATAGAAGCATTGATTATTCAACATCAGCTGCAGTAGACAAGGCATTGTGTGCACATGCCTGATATACGTTTACCAACAAGTGTTACACTCCCAACTCAGCCAAGAACATGCAGGGGTCAGAGAAAATGCTTCAAAGACACTCTCAAGGCAAACATTAAGAAGTGTAACATTAACATTACAAATTGGGAAAAACTAGGTTGGGACAGGGCTATGTGGTGATGCTCTGTGAGAGAAGGTACGTCTTTGAGGAAAAGACTGAGAAATCTGCTGCTCAGCCCTCCCTTTAACTACCACCTGTGGCACCAGCCAAAAAGTCTGTGGCTCTAGGATCGGCTTTAGCCATCAACAGACTCAGCTACAACCCTTTTCTTGACCCATGGGAGTGATCATTGCCACCACTGCCAATAACTTAGCCCTTTCTAATGTGGATTTCGAACAGATTTATATTAATGACTTAAATCTTGTATTGCTACTGTGAAATAGTAAAATGTTGTTTGTAATTTAATTTCTCTGTTAGCAAAGAGGTGAAATGTCTTTTTAAGAGAATCTCTAGGCTCTGGGTTAAAGTAAGAGGGTGGGAAGGAAGGGTATTGGGAATTGCTATGCTGTTTCCTCTGCTAAAATGAGGGGAAAATACCCTCTTTGGCTTGAGGGAGCTCATCTCCTTTCCCATTCTGAGCTTGATGAATGAAGGTTCACTAGAACATGGAGTGGGAGAAACAGGTACTTGACTAAGGAGTATCTTGAGCTCTCAACTTCCCTACTTCTGTTGGTGGAAGAGTAGTTGCAGTACCTGATACTGGACAGACAGTTTCACCTGTCTGTTTTCTTCATGGGAAGTCTTCTGTCCTCTTGGGTATGCATCTTCTGAGGGGAAAGGTGGATACAAATTTTGGATGAAGTGGATCCACTGGTTTTCAGCAACTTATTTTCTCCGTTCTAGTCAACTTCAAGTGGTGGCATGCACCGAAATGGGAATGCGAATGAAGCACAATTCCAAAGACTTCATATGTGCCTGAATACCTTATTTACTCAAATCTAAGACAAAGTTTTTCCCATTCCAGTCAGTGTGGGGGGGAGGGAAGGAGCTCCTCATCTTAGATTTTTATACAAAGCAGAGGTGTGGGGAAGGAGACTGCTGTGGCTCTGACTCTGGCCCTGAGTTTGGATTGGGGAGAGTCAGGCCCGCAGCAACCTCCTGCCTTTCCCTTTGTTTGACCTCTGCAGATTACCCCCCCACCCCCTTTTCCTCCCTTCCCTCTTAATGTTAGGCACAGCTCAGGTATGGGTTAGGCTGGATTTCCTCCTGAGCATGGAGTACAGAGAAACTCCATCCCTGCCCAGCCAATCAGCAGCACTGCCACTGCTTCATGGCCTGGCAAGGGCTGTGCTTCCATGTGCTGTGCTCAGTGACTCGGCAGGGAACGGAGCCTAAGCAGTGCCTGACAGTGATGTTCTTGGGAGTGTGGGGAAGAGGCAGAGACTGGGAGTTGGGAGGTGGGGGGAGGAGGCAAAGACTGTGGGGAGTTAGTATGGAGGGAAGGAGCAGAAACTGTGGGGAGTAGGTGCATAGGGGCAGAGAATGTGGGAAGCTGGGGGTGGGGGTGCAGGTGGCAGCGGGGTAGCAAGGCTACAGGGGAGGAAGTTGGTGGGACAGAGGGTAAAGGGGCTACCTGACCCCATCGGCCACTGTTTTCTCTGCTATAGCAGTTGGGGTTGGGGGGAGCAAATTTAAGACAACCCTCCAATAATTGCATTCTATACCTGGAAAGCTATAACACATTTATAAATTGTCCATATATAGAATCTAATTATGGGGGGTGGGGGTCATCTTAAATTCAAGTAAATATGGTAATTGAATTATGTTGGCTGTCAGTCTGATGCCTGAAAATATGATTTGCTTCTAATTATGCTTTTTCTCTTGTGTATATAAGCTCTTGGGTACTATTGTGAATGGGCATAAAATAAGAACTGGAGAAAGACAGCTCTCTTGTTCCTGTTTCATGCAGTCACAACAGTCTGACAAAACACTTTGACATGAAGATCTATGAATTCAGCCACCAAAATTAAAACAGGACTGGAGAGAACCTCCTGGGGCAGCATGTCCATCCTCCTCCTATTGCAGTTTGGTAGTTTCTTCTCACATTCTGATCAACTTTAACCATTGGCTTTGTCACTGATTGTGCCAGCCTGTGCGCTAGAAATCCTGCTCTCTAGTAGCATATTCCAAAAACAATCATGTTACATTTTCTCTTAAATTGTTTTTCCTACAGCTTAAAATAGATATAAGATATGAGAGAGTGAACCAATTGTAAATCCACCCTAGAACTGTTCCTAAGGTTTTAGAAAAAGTAGAAAGAGGAGGGTACTATCACATATTGGTCTTGTGTAATATCTCCATTACTAATCTGAAGGATGGGTTTGAGTGTACACTTAACAAATAGATAACACCAGGTTGTATGGAGTGTGCACTTAAGAGATAGCTGATAACACCAGACACTAGAGGGTAGGGCTAGGATTCAAAACAATCTGGGTAAAGTGGAGAACTGGTCCAGAATCAATTGGATGAAATTCAACAAGGACAAGTGCAAAGTCCTGCACTTAGGATGGAATAATTGCATGCCCAAATACAGACTGAGAAATAATTGGCTAGGCTCCAGTACTGCAGAGATGAACCAGGGAGTTACAATTACAGTAGACCAGAAACAAGAGTATGAGCTCCTGTTTATTTAACAAAAAAAACCAAAACAAAACAAAAAAAAAAAGCAACAGCATACTGGTTTGCTTCCCCAACAGAGGAAATTTAGGTTGAAGATTCTCAGTAGAGAGGTAGTGGAATCTCCATGCTTGTAAATTTTCAAGAGCAGGTTATGGTAATCTTAGAATGATGTTGTATCTGTGACGGTCCAGGAATTAGGTAGGAGGCAAGGATCTTGGGGGATGATATCTTTTAATTAACCATCTGTATTGTTGGTATAAAGTTAGTAAATTTTTAAATAAGAACCATTCTTCTTCAGGTTGCTTTAAGAGCAGACTTAGATAGACAGTTGACTGGGATGGGTTAGTCAGAGACGATCCTGTCTTGACTGAAGAGCTTCCCTAGATGACCTCATGAGGTCATTTCTAGCTGTGCTTTTCTATGATTCCATCTGGGGAAAAACTCATTTGAGTTCATCATGAAGAACTAATTAATCTTTAATTAAATTGGTCTATATGAAAAGCCTGGAAAAATCCTGCAAATAAGGGAAGCTGTACTGAGCAAAGTAATATCAGTTCAGGTGTATTACGTATGTGCGTTTCTCTCGTGCCTTTTATCTGAGGTTCTTCTAGCATTTTACAAACACTAAGTAAACTTTACAGCAACCTAGATATCATTATCACGGTCTTTTAAATATAGCCCTGGCGAGCTGTATCTTTCTGAGTGATAAGTATTTAATTTACTGATTCCTACCAGGTTTAGAAAATAAAGAAACCAGGAAGAATATAAAATTCATGCAAACAGTAAATTCAAGAGGCAGGATTTGACTGTCCAGTTTTAGAATTAGAACCCAGGTTTTATCTAATAGTACTGTGGAAAAAAGCTGTGGTGTCTTTTTAATGTGTACATGTGACAGATCAGTACTTTTCAGCTTGCTTCTCAGTGCATTGGGCCTCACTTTTAAATGCTCTAATACAGCATTAGGCAACCTTTGCCAGCTGCAGGCCAGAATGATCCACCTGGGTTCAGAGGCAGATAGGTGACACAAACTGAGAGGCTGCTTTAAAACACAAAGATTAGTTATTACTTATTGGTAGGTATTTTTAAGGAAATCTGGGACACTGCCCCCCCTCACCATCTCAGCAGTGCCCAGCCCAGCCTGCCCCCCACCCCTAGGCACTGCTCAGGAGGGTGCCAAAAGGCACCAAAATACAAGTTTGCCCAGGGCACTGCACGCATGCACACGTGAGTAGCCTGCGTTCACAGCAGCTCTCCCTCTATCCCAGGCAGGAAGAGCAGCATCCAGCTCAGTCCACCCTGCTTCCAGCTGCTGCTCAGGAGGAGTCAGGCTGGGCAGAGCAGGAAGAGTGGTGCCAAACCCAGACTTTTGGTTCCATTTTCACCAATTGGCTGGGATGGCCTACAAAATCTGGGACTGTCCCAGCAAAACTGAGACACATGGTTACCCTACTTACTGGGCATAAAGTCTGCTTAAGAAAACGTAAACCATTTTAAATGTGTGTTAAGAAAACTGACCTGGCATTAAGAACCTTGCCCTGGAAATCTACCTGTCCTCTTTCCAGATGTGTTTGAACAGCATTGTTGCTGGAGAATTTGGCATGGTAGTCTTGTGGTAAAATGTTTGAAACTGAATCAGTGAGTGCTGAATGGGTGGTCTTATTTATCATGAAAATTAAGGTTTTAAATCCTTTGAAGTACTATCTATACTTTCTAATGAAAGATGAGCCTTAGTAACGATGATTCTATTTTTAGGAGAGGTTATAGCAGTATGTGGGAGCTGCAACTCTTTGGGCAACTGGAATCCTCAGCTTGCAGTAATTCTTCATCCAGATGTTTATGCTGATGGGTGGTAAGTTTTTAAGGATACTGAGCTAATGCTCATTCTGACCCTGGACTCAAACTCTAAAAACTACATACACTATTTATAAAATTCCCTAGAATTTTGATCTAAGTTGCCTAAATGTTTGCCCAACATTTTTAAACACAAGATGTCTGCTGAAGTAATTAGAATATGGTGGAGATGTAACTAAAGTAATACATGTCCTTTTTTAGTTTTGAATGATGCCATCAGCTAAAATAAGGCAATAGCATTTCTCAGGATAATATTTGCCAAAACTTATTTTATAATAGTGCTGTTAAGGGTCATTGACACTAAAACATAGTTAATAAGTATTGTATTATAAAATCTTCCAGGTACTTGCATTCTCTTTCTAAATCTGTATAGTACTGCATTGTTAAGGTTTGTTATAAAATCTCCATTCACAGTTAATTTGATTCATTAACATAATTCACTTAGTATGTAAATAAAATAGTGGAACATTTAGGATATTTCTTCAATAATACTCTGTCTGTGTAATGCAGAGGGTCAGGGCTTATGGGATCTTTTTCTAACTCTGACATTGATTTCTATGTGAACTTGGGACAGATCATTTAACCTTTTTTCATCTCATTTTCCATTTGTTAAAAGACTCTGAGAATTCTTGCATTTTGTAAAGCTCTTGAGATATACAGATGAAAAATACAGTATAAATGCTAAGTATGTACTTTATCCATGTTTGCCTAAGTTGATTAAGACAGCTTTTTTGTATAACTACAGCAAGGCATATTTTCAGATCTATGCATGCATGCATGGAGAAATGCATGCATGTCTGATTGCAATTAAACTGCAGACTTGCTTTTTTATGTAAAGGCTGACAGTGCTGCATGCATGGGTTAGAGCAGCGTTCTCAATGTCGTATCTTTTTGAATGGCTTAGTGCAGCATTTTTAGTGAATGGCTGTAGCAGTAACAAGTTTGCCGTACCTTAATTTTGATATTGCAACATTTCTTTTACGTCGCAAACTATTTTAAAATATCTTTACATAAACTCGCATATTCTCTACAAGATGCAAGAATGCTGGTGTATTTGCATATCTGTATTTGCTTTCCATTCTGTCCAGGATGACTTACTGAATTGACCTAACTATATCCAACATTTAAAAAAAACTGACAAAAGAAAATGGCATTAGTAAGACTGTCATTTTCAAATAAGTGTGTTTTTGCTTGCTTTCCTAAAACTTAATGTTGTCTTAAGTGTAGCAACTTTTTCAGGTTTTTTTTAAGTATACATTAGGCTGAAATCTAGATTTGGATCTATTAAAAAAAAAAAAAAAAATCTTCAGAAAAATGAATGTAATAAAACTTTTTAAACTGTTCTTCCACAGCATATTATGGAAAGCTACAGTAGAACTTACTAGAGGAGATGCTATTCAGTATCGATATTTTAAAGGGTGCTTCTTAGAGCCTAAGGTATGTATGATATTTTTTTAAAGTTAGATAGCCTTTAACTTAATGATGTTTTTCAATTTAACTTGTCAGGAATGTATTTTTACTCCAGTTAAAAATGTTAGGTTTGTACTATGTGAAAACTTAATTTTTTGGGGGGAAAGCATGCAAAATAATCCTTAAAGTCTGTGACATACTGCTGTTATATCTGAAGTGTATTTAGTATAGCCCGTTCTATTCCCTCTTTCAGAATTACTGTCTTTTTATTTTTTCAGTAACGTTAAAATACATGAGGATAGTGTAGAGCTTAAATAATGTATTAAATTCTTTATTACTTACGGTCTGGAAAGATAAAAATGATCTAGTTACTTAACACATAATTTAAAAAGGACAAGAGTATTTCAGTATGTTAATGTAAACTTAATAAACATGTTGAAATTCTGCTTACCCCATTCGTTGTTTTTATATTAAGAAGGTTTTGTCCAAAAAGTCAAGTATTAACTGCCTTTTGGCTTATGCAGTTAATGAACATTTACCACTTCCAGTTGTACTGTCATGCAGAGCTTTTTATACAGGTGTTTGCATAAATTAAAAAGGCATATAGTTTTTGGTTTGATTCATATTGAACCTGCCAGTGAAGGTTTAGAAGGCAGAAAACCCATTTCTAGATTGGTAGAAACTGTGCTGGGGTTCAAAAGAAGCTCCTCTTGGGTTAGGAACAAGAGGGTTCTAAGAAATGCATATGAATATATAATCATGGCAGGAGCATGAGCCAGGTCCTCCTTTAGATGCATTTCCTAGCAGCCTCTAACACTGAAGAGAAATGACTCGGATCCATCTAGTTATCTCTTTGCACTTGCTAATTCTATAAATATACAGTAACTAAATTTAGGGGTGTGCGAAGCGGGTCATATTTGATTTGGATTCGGCCTGAACTGGGGACAGTGATTTGATTCATTGATTCAGATCACTGTCCCTGATTTTATTCGGCTTAACCCGAATCTGAAGATGCTTGGTGGGGAACCCAGAAGTGGACTGGAAGTACTTCCAGTCTACTTCCGGATCTGCCACCAAGTGCTTAGGGGGGCCCCTTGTGCCGCCACCCCCCCAGCTCGGTGATCAGCCATGGGGGGACCCTGGGTGCCGCCCTCCCATCCCCCCCCCCAGACCCAGGGGGCACCAGTTGCTGAGCCAGGAGGGTTCGGGGGGGCCCCCACACGTTCCCTGGCAGACCCAGAAATGGACCAGAAGTGCTTCTGGTCCACTTCTGGGTTTGCTGCTGACTGCCCTGGGGAGCCTCCTGCACTCCTTTGGGGCACTTCATCCGCTCCACCATCGCAGCATTCATGAGTCACCTGGTACCTTGAGGTATGTAGAAAAAACATTTAAAGTTTTGTCTATATCTGAATCACCATGTCTCTCCGAATTGATTTAGAGGGTTTTGATTCGGAGAGATTAAAGGGTCTCCTGATTCGATTCAGATTCGGGGATTCGACCACCGAATCGGGCCAAATCTCTGCCGAATTAAATTGGGGACTGAAGCTTCGCATAGTCCTAGTAACTGTTCATCCTGGGCCCAATTCTTCAGTCTTTACATTTATGAGTTCAATGTTAATTTAAATATGTAGAAGGACCACAGACCCAGGCATCCTTGTATCTCTCAAACCCACTGTCAGGGTTAAATAGGCTGAAAAATTGAGTGGTCTTGGCTTTTTGGGTGGGATTAGAAGATATCTGAGGAGAAATCCTTCAGTAAAATGAGCCCAGTTTACATCTGCTGTACTATTTTTAGGTTACAGCATGTGAAATCAGGCTAACTTAAACATGCTTAAAATGTTATTCTGGGGAGTAAGGGACAGTGATGAAAATATCATTATGAAACTTCTGTCAAAGTAGGTTTATTTTAAGGCCTAACAACTCTGGTATTGAATAGTTAAAATGCCCTAATACTTAGAATGTAAGCAACATCAAACTAGAAAAGCACACTTAGCATAAAAGCGAACTAGCGAAAAATTGTTGATAGTCAAACACGTTTTCCCTTGTAATATTTGTAAAAGTTCACAGTGTGTATTGGTGAGTGTGTTTCTTTGAGTAGGTGCTCTGTATTGTGCACACTCTTTGTACCGTGTGATGCAGAGGCTGCCAAGGTAAGTATAAATTTTATGGAATACCAGAGTAAATAGTTTCTGTAAATAAAAACCCAGGTGAAGTCAGCTCCAGACAGCAAACTATAAAATGCACCTAGTTAAACACATGATTTAGGAATTTCTGTATAATACACTTCTTTTTTTTTCTAGTTAGAAATGTTTTTCTAGTGTCATTTCTAGTTTAATTGCTCATGGATGCAATAAAGTTGAGGCGGCCACTTACAGAACAAAAAATAAGACACACCACAAATGAGGGAGGTATATAGAGAATACTAAGTTGCTGATTGATCTGTTTTAAAAGAACTGTCATTTAACATTCAAATTCAAAACAGCATTTGTAATCATTGGAATTTCTCTTAAGATTTCCTGCTGCTTTACTTGATACTCCTAGTTAATTTCTGCATTAGAGAGGCTTTTGATCTCTACAGCTTCATTAATTTAAAATTGTAGTAAATGTTTGAAAAATCCTTCACTTGTGATTGCACATAAGTAATTATTTTAATGCTATACACCAATCTTTCATCTTCTAAATAAAATAAGGCGTTAGGCTGTTTTTTTCCATAGCATGCATAGTCATTTTATACTGTTATGCTGTAATATTTGAGCCTATATTTATGAGTATACATTAAACAGTGCTAAGAACTGATCCAACTTAAAGTGGTTCATGGTTATCAATCACTTCCATAAACATGCTTTTCTCCATGTTCTTGAATCAGCAAATCATATTGAGGTTTGTGTGTATGGTGACTCACCTAGAGCTCAGAGACATAAAAACTTAGAACTGATATTTTTTTACTTGTGTGGATGAGAAAAACATATTGCAGAAAAAGATGATAATAACAAACATCCAAAGTTAGGAAGAGGAAACATTGAAAAATCTTTTCCCTAATTTGTAAATTTTTGTTTTGTGCATTATCTTTTACTTAGCTGAAATATTATACAATGTCAAGTTAAGAGATGCTTATATTGATGTATTTATAAAATACCAATAAGAACAACCCAAGAAAGTTATTTTGCATTTTATTACCATTGGTTTCCTCTCATAAAATAGAAATAACTATTCATGTGTTTGACAGTTTTCTGTGCCAAAGAAATAAAAATTCATGCATGTACATATCATGGAAAAGAGCTTGAATTAATTCCAGACACATTAAAGTTATTCCAAGAAGCATCTTTGTGCATTTTTTTCTCAGTACAGTAAATACACATTTTTGCTAAAGCGGTGCATTTACTTGCTTTCTACTTTTTTGTACTAGTTTGGCTTTTATCTCGGAAGCCTGCGATATGTTTCTGAAATTTTCCTCTGTTAAGATTTATTTTGCTGCAAGGGTCTTCCCATTTTTGTTTTATGTAATAGGTTTTCGGTTTGATACTTAAAAAAAAATCCATTTTAGAACGTTGTAATGCATGCACGTGTAGGTTCCATATATACATATTCTATACTGTTATATTAATTTAATGAAGTACTTTTAAATAGCTCATTGATGTGAAGATATATTTTATTTATTCTATACATTTGTGGTCTTTTTCTATACAGTAAATACACATGCACATTTAGGCCCACTTCTTTCTAAGATGCATGCAGGGATTAATCTGAGAGGATGTAGTCAAGATTTGAAAATTTACATATGCCCCCCATTCATTTTTTTCGTTAGAAATACTATTTGATACATTAGTAGTCATGAAGTTTTAATTGATATTTGCATTTATCTTTGCAATTTAAAGAAGGCAAATATAGTGATATGTAATGCTCTCAAAAAATTAATCTTAAATTCAGACTTCATAGTTACTGGCAGGACACTGGCAAAATTGTCAGATGGCATCCAATAGCAGACAGAAACAATGCCTTAGCTTTTGCTAAATAACTACTGCATCTGTGCTATGGCAGTGTGTTTGTTAAATCATTGCCTGGAACACAAACAGTAAGCAAAAGCTTTAGTAGCCTAATACTGTATTTACTTGGATAGAAGATGATCCTGATTTTAAGATGTCCCTCCAATAATTAGATTCCATATATGGAAAAAGTGTAAATTTGTTATTATTTTCCAGGTATAGAATCTAATTATTGGAGGTTTGCCTTGAATTTGTCCCCTTTTCACTGCTGCAGCAGGAAAAAAAATAAATCTGGGGGGTCATCTCGTATTCAAGTGAATGCAGTAATTTGGGTTAGATACCTTAAATATGTGTTTTTTATGCTCACAATCTAGCTTCAGAAATGTCAGCTGACATGCTTCTGTATTGTCTACCACTGTAGTACAAAAATCAAGATCAGTGGAGTGAGAGGTGCAGCCCTCAAAATTGTATGCCAGTCTTCCAAAGCATTCAGCTACTTCATGTTTAGGTAGATCAGCATTCTTCGAAATATGCAGTAAAGCTTAAGTTAGAGTCTAAGAAGTGCACTTGGGTCAGGGATCTTTTGGGGCTTGCTGAGGTTCTTAGTGTCTATAATCTATGATGTCGTCTTGGATCAGGACTTTAAGAAATGTTTTACTGCAGCTTTAGTTGTCTGTGTAACTGAGGAACTATATTTATAAACCCCCAAGATACTCCTTCCAGCTGATATAATGAGAAATGTGGTACTTTTATTGTTTGCTGTGGTAGCTTAACTACTTTTTATTGTTTTGAAACCTGAAGTTAGTTTCTGGTTGCTTCAGTTTGTATTTACTTGAGGCATTATTAAAAAGCTCTATATTTTAATGTCTCCACAAGTGGGTAACACCATTTGGTTAAAGAAAACCCTTTAAATGCTAAGCTTGGTATATTAGATCCACTTTCATTCAGTTTTTGTCCTTGCAAAGCAATTTGTGTAGATACTCTGCATCTGGAAAGAAATAGATTGTTGCAGAGGTTGCTAGTTTACTTGGTGGGAACAGGTATAGGCATCTGCCCTCTTCTGGCTGCCAAAGATTTCAGATGTGAGAATCCAAATTGTTTTGCAGCCTGAAGTGTGGCTCTGCTGTAAGAAGACAGGGAAGAAACTTGACTTGCATGTTACTTCCAGTTTACTCTTTGGACAGTTCTATTTTTCCTTTCTCTCTTTTTCTTAGGAAAACATTGTCAAAAGATTAATAGTGCCATACTGCTTCTTTTGTAAATGCATCTGTTTTACCTTTAAATAAGTTAGTGCATATTTATCTAGGAGTAGTGTTTTACAAGTGGGGTACATACAGCTTTGAGGACAGTGTGAAGTTTGAATTGCTTCCAGCCATGCTAAAGAGATCACTAGATTTATTGAACATGTGGTGATCTTTTGATATTTATGTTTTTTGCATTAACTAATCCAAAACCTTAATAGGTAATATATCCCTGACAACTTCAAGAAAGCCTAGTTGCTGCTAAATTGGTTACCTGTGCCATGAAGATTTTAAAATCTTCAGATATGTAATTCATAGAATCATAGAAAGTTATGGTTGAAAGGGACCTCAGGAAGTGATCGAGTTCAACCCCCTGTTCAAAGCAGGCCCATTCCCACCTAGATCAACTCAGTCAAAGCTTTGTCTAGCTGGGTTTTGAAAACTCCCAAGTATGGAGCTTCCACCACCTCTGTGGGTAATTTGTTCCAGAGCTTTACTACCCTCCTAGTGAGAAAATTCTTCCTAACCTAACCTAAACTTCCCTTGCTGCAACTTGAGACTGTTGGCTCCTTGTTCTGCCACCACTGAGAACAGTCTAGCTCAGGGGTGGGCAAAATGTGGGCCGCGTGCTGGATGCAGCCCGTGAGACCATTCTGTCTGGCCCCGCGGGGGCCCCTAAAAAATTTAGAAAATTAATATTTATCTGCCCTTGGTTCCTGTCAAAAATGACTGGAACCAAGGGCAGTAGGACCCAGGGGAAGCCTAGCGGACGTCCACAACAGCAGGGCCTGCCC